TTAGCCGATTTTGGTGGGACGTGATGTTGACCATGGTCATGGCCAACACAGCGGGTTTTTTCATCGAATCTCCCAGCTGGTTTACGAGCCAAGTTTCGTTGAGGCTTTATGTGTCTTAATAGGCTACCAGATACGTTCCAGATATTTTTTTGTCTCGTCCTTGGTCGTCGCTTATGGTCATGTTGGCCTCATTCAATATGAGGGTGCCGTGGCCTACCTCAGTTATTGGATCCAGGTGACCTGGGACCGTGATACAATGCGCAATAACTCCAGGAATTAATTGTTGAGCACAACTGTCGTTTTAGAACTCCCTGCAAAAGGATACTTGCAATACCCGATGTCGCGGTTTCATTCCGGGCACTCAGCGACTAGGTGTCCGTCTTCAAAGTCTAGAATCTTGTTATGGTACTGGACCGGAGAGACTGTTATCTTATTAAAAACATGCTTATGATTATGGAATTGGTAAGCAAATGAATGATATCGGAATTTTGAAAAACACTTATACTAAATACTTCTAATATTTCTAACAACTAATGTTAACAGGGTGGTAGTCCTTAAATCCGCCAATTTCGGAGGTATCTGAATAGCCGGACTTGCAATATTTAATTTTGGTAGGGTTAAGCCCATTAGGATGTTCTCCAAATCTGTAATGACGATTCTATTTTTAGCCAAAATGATTTCTAAAAATATGTCTGTGTCGTCCGTTCTAACAGCCTGTTAAGTTTAATGCTCGTCCCAGTGTGCTGGGAGCGATCAGCTGATCGCTCTCGCATTTTGGGACGATGCGTGAGATCACGAGAGCGAGAGCTGAACGCGATACCAGTCGCGAATCTAACGCGGGACGCTATTTACACATTATACATATTAAACAGATATAGTAATTAAACGTTTTTGTGAATTTATCTGTCATACAATGACCCTTTGTTAGTCTGAATACAAGGGTCACAACTATACATGGGGATAATAACTAAACATAACCATGTATACCATATGTACATAGACGCCATTAGATCGCAGCTGTGTTAAGTTTGCAAGGCGGCTCTGCAAATCGCGAGAAAGGAGGTCGGCGATACATAGGCATACATAGTTTCTTGAAGTTCGAAACGTTCTTTTATCTTCGCTGATACGTCGATACCTACGCTCATAGAGGACATTTCAGTTTCTTGAACTCCGGAGGCGATACCTTTCATCGCTTCTTTGGGTGGATTCTGGTATACATAACTGAGTAAGTGAACAAGTTATGTGCAAGACAAGAATTAACTAAGTTTTCGCGTTAAGTTCATATTTTACACTTGCCAACATGAAGGCTGAATCGGATGCTCCGACTTTGGAGCAGTTAGTCAATTTGCAGACAAATGGATTTCAGTCTCTAAAATCTATGTTGCAAAATTTTAGGAAAAATTCGCAACCCAGGAAAACTAGAATTTATTCTATATTATTATTATATTATTATATTATTATATTTATTATTATAAGTGGAGGAACGACGGATCGCTTTCAGGGTGCTTGTGAACGTGAAAGGATTTTCTGATTCGACCTATGCAACGAAGGATTTTTAGGCGGAGTTCGAGGAGCGGTACACGGATGCATATTTCGCTTTCGCTGGGGATTTGGACAAGCTTAGACCAGAGGCTCGTGCGCCAAAATCGGGGTGCGGCGAAGTGGAAGTGCAGCTGAACATGCCGCAGATGTCCGTTTCTCCGGCGCGTGTGTCGATTGGCCAGGCTACTATGATGACTTCACGGGCCTCATCCACAATATCAGCAATTTGAGTAGTATTCAGAAATTGCACTTTCTGAAGGAATCGTTGCATGCAAATCGCAATAACGACATCCGTCAAATGCAGCTTATAGAAGGAAACTATTCAGTAGCCTGATGATCAAGAGGTACAACAATCCTCGTCTCGTTATCGTTCACCACATGAACGCCATCTACGCGCCAATATGCTCGATGCTAAGCACAGTCAATCTTTGCCTGACTGCATTCCGTCGCGTCCAAGCCTTGAATGGGGAATCGCAGCACTGGTTGCCGCATTACGTAGCATCAAGGTTACCGAAGGAGACCCACAACGCTTGGGAGCAGCATCAAGTAAGCGGTGCCACCATTCCATCCTATAGGGAGTTGGGATCGTTTTAGAACGATCATCGTACGGACTCCAGTGCTGGCCCGACCCGAACAAGTGCGAGTTCACAGTGCAGAGTGTTACCATTGTGGCGGCGGCCATATTTTGCGCCTTTGCAAAACTTTCAGGATGGGCGGAAGGAGTGAGGAAAGCAACCCAGGTACGCTGTCTTCGAGTGCTTTTGGACAACGAGGCATTGCGCAAGCGTTTCTGCGAGGGACAGGCAATCGGCTAAGATGGGAGACATATTTCGTTCAAATGTGAAACGCTCAACTGATCACGCTGTGGATCTCATGGTGTCCGCTCGTGACTACAAGCGGCGAAGGTTCCCAGCAACAAAAATGCAAAGATTAACTGATTACTCTGCACCCATTTCCAAATACTCGGTTGGAGATAAATCAACGTGATGTTTAAGGGCTCGATCGATGCAACTTCCAATGACTGGGTCTGCACCGCAGAGGGAGGTCTCAAGGTCTCCGCCTTGCTGCTCTGTAGTCTGGTAGGAACAGCTAAAGCTCCGGAGGTGGGCAGCACGCGGTAGGCAATTATTCTATGGATCGACTGCTCCAGCTATGTTTTACTGATCAGGAACAAGAAGATAGATATTGCACATATTGCACCAAGCGGTTTACTTTCCGAAAGCTCAGAGGAATCACATGTGCAAGCCAGGAAGGCGAAAATGAAAGAGAAATACAGAAGATGACCATAGTTGAAGAGATCTCTAAAAAAAAGAAAGTCAAACTGACGCCAATACACAATTGCCCGGTGTGTCTGATTGCTGGGAGAACGATTTGAACCAGTCAAAGGAAACTCAAACTCCTTTGCAGCGCACTTTCTTATCAAGCAATCAAGGGTACCCTATTTCTGGAAGGCTTGGAATCGGGACGGGCACATTTACCGCAGAGGCCCAAGGGGTGCCGACCTCGCGATAGTCAAGGACGATCGATTCCCGCCGTCACAATGGCTACTGGATCGCGTCGTCGAAATACGGACGGATGCGTTAGTCGGTCCGGGTTGTAACATTCAAAACCAAGCAAGGCCAGATGAAACGTTCAGTCTCGGAACTTTGTCCACCCACCTCTTTAATAAATAACTCGTTTCTTGCTCATACTAGATATTCTGCCCAACTAACCGCCAAGACGGACCGGACAAGCGAAGGTTTCTCATGCTAGGTCTAGCATTGGCGGACGGCATGTTAAGTTTACTGCTTGTCCCAGTGTGCTGAAAGCTGATTGCTCTCGCATTTTCGCATTCGCTTGTTTAAGCAAGTCGAGGTCGATAATACCATCGAATTCTTTAAGGTTATTTAGAATAAACAAGAGGAAACGCTATAGTCGAGTGCCGCGACTATAAGATACCCGTTACTGTTTTACAAAATTTTAAAATATTATTTTTCTAGTGGTAATTCACATGGCGCCACCTATTGTCAGAGGAAGTATGTTGAGTATGCTTATAGTGACGTCACTGCCCATGTGAGGCCTTATAACCTTAATTTCTTCATAAATAGCGAAATAATGTTCCGATTTGAAAAATCTTTTGTAAATCGATAGATATTAACAGAAATAAGTTACACAAGGTCAAACGAAGGCATTCATAATAATATTATAGACTCCACAGTTTTCCGCGGTTTGTGGGCGTTAGAGTGGGCGTGGCCGGATGCAACTTCGTGGCAAGTTGCAGAGGCATCTCCTAAATACGTGTTCCTAAGCAAAATTGTGTAGCTCTTATAGTTTTCGAGATTTTTGCATTTTCGGTTTTTCGGGTTTTGTGGGCGTTAACGCCCACAAATCGCGAAAAAAACATCGCTGAAATCTCAGGAACTATTAGAGCTAGAAAGTTGAAATTCAGTATATATAATCTTTAGATGCCAGCGCATCTTATAGTGGTACTACTATCCTGACACACCCACTCATATGCCCACATGGCTCAAAACACGGTTTTCAGATTTTCTAGAAAAGCTGATATCTCGGTAACTATAAGAGATAGTTCCGATTAAGCATGATGCTCGCAATGCGAATTGTTATTTTCCGATCAAGCCACGCGCACACTAACGCCCACGAAACCCGAAAAACCAAAAATGAAAAAATCTCGAAAACTATAAGAGCTACAAAGTAGTGCTTAAGAATACTCATTTAAGAGATGCCTCTGCAACTTGCCACGAAGTTGCTTCCGGCCACGCCCACTCTAACGCCCACAATATTATTATTAAGGCCTTAATTTTTAAATCGGAACATTATTTCGCTATTTTTTTTTTTATTATGAAGAAATTTAGGGTTTAAGGCCTCACATGGATTGTGACGTCACTATCAATTACTCAACATGCTTCCTCTGACAATAAGTGGCACCTTGTGAATCTCCACTAGCAAAATTAATATTTTAAAATTGTGTAAAACGTGTTTCCTCTTGTTTTTATTTTCTTTGTTATTCCAAAGGTAACGGTCGCCATTTTACGTCGTTATATTCCAATTTATATTATTAAAAAAAAAAAAAATTAAAAATATTTCATTATTATTATTATTTCATATATGTCTTTATTCTTAGCTTCTTGATAAGTCAATTGTTTTAAGAGTTAGAAGCTCGAGGATACGCTGTCTATAAAATATCAGCAGTGGTCAATGCGATACATTTCTAAAACAGAGTACATTTAACTAAAGATCTTTACTTATATATAGTGATATATTTTAATTTTTTTTTACCGCTAATGCTTTTATTTATGCCGTCGGTTTGTTAGGTTTTTGATCAACAAAAGCTACTAAGCTACTAATCAATCTTATAAATTAAGACGATTATGCATGGACCTCTCACCTTAACCGCAGTAAACAGCTTTAAATATATTGTACTTTTGCCTCATATTTCGACATTGTTCTTTTAATTTCAGGAGAAAATCTAGGCTGCTTTGGAACGAGTAAGAAAAAGAAAGAAGGTACCAACAACCCCGAAGCTTTTGACGACTGCAACATTCCCACAGAGTATTCGAAAAATGCAGTAACTTATAACCATTTGAACAAGGGATATGGACAATTATGGCAACCTGAAGTAGTTCAATACTATTTATCCTTACTGCAAAGTTGTTCGAATCCAGAAACTCTCGAAGCCGCAGCTGGAGCAATTCAAAATCTATCTGCATGTTACTGGCAACCAAGTGTTGATATTCGTGCAACAGTGCGTAAGGAAAAAGGTCTACCAATACTTGTGGAGCTTCTTAGGATGGAAGTGGATCGCGTAGTCTGTGCAGTAGCCACAGCTCTGCGCAATTTAGCAATTGATCAACGAAACAAAGAACTTATTGGAAAGTATGCGATGCGAGACTTAGTACAGAAACTCCCATCTGGAAATTTACAACATGACCAAAATACTTCAGATGACACAATAACAGCTGTATTAGCCACAATTAATGAGGTTATTAAAAAAATCCCGAGTTTTCTCGTTCCTTACTAGATTCGGGAGGAATCGACCGGCTAATGATCATAACAAGACGAAAAGAAAAATATACCTCTTGCGTGTTGAAATTTGCTAGTCAAGTTTTATACACCATGTGGCAACATAACGAATTGCGAGAGGTTTATAAAAAGAACGGATGGAAAGAAAATGATTTTATAAGTAAACATTTTACAGCACAGAACACTCCGCCAAATTCACCAAACAACGTCAACAATACACTCAATAGACCAATGGCTTCACAAGGACGTACTCGCTATGAAGACAGAACTATACAGCGAGCAACAAGCAGCTCATATGCTGCTAAGGAATCCAGTGGTGCCGTTATGTCTAGTAATGAGACTGCACTGCTTTCAGAAATGGTTAGAAAACAATTATAAAATTATTATTTCTTAATTATTTCAGTACTAAAGATTATATGAAAAGTATTCAATTTTTAAATTATTCAAATAAAGCCTATTATTAAATCCCTTTGACCAAAAGGTTTTTACAGCATTTACCCAACATAATTGTAAAATATCACTATAATAAAAATGTAATCTGAAAACATAAAAATAATGATAATTAAGAGAAGCTGTTTATTTTTTAACTATTATTCGTTTATTTCTATTTTATTATAACTAAAGTTTTATGCACTTTCACAACATAAACATAAATCTACTTGCATCAACGGGGAATCACTTACTGCTCACTTTGTCAATCGAATAAATAAAATGTAACTAATGCTGAGAGGTTGTTTTTTGGCCAGATAAACAAATTGTGGCGCGCCTGCTTAATCATTTATTAGGCTGTAGGCGGTAGATTTAACTTTCATTTTCATTGCAACAAAATTATCAAAAACAATTGCGCATAATTTACAGGGTATGCCATCATTTGTGGGCGGATTTAAGCATTGAATATTTTTCTCAAATATCGACCGATCAGCTTGATCAGACATGTTTTGAAAACGTCAAAACAGTAGAATTTTAATCATGGTTCGCTATATGCTTAAACAACGCGATTAAATGGTGCAAATGTATATTGAAAATAACAAGTTAATTGTGTTAACTCAACGGGCATATCGTCAAATATATCCTCGCCAAAACGCTCCAAAAAAACACACTATCGTTTTTTGGTTAATTTTTTTGAATTTGGTACAGTGGCAGACCGTCCACATGCAGTTCATGAATGTGCAAGACGCTCAGCTAATTTGGTAGAGGCAGTGAGAGTAAAAGTGGCCGAAGGCCCAGGAGAGTCGTATGGAAACCGTGCTGAATATTTAAATGTTAATGAAACTTTACGACGCATTTTAAAGAATGATTAACATTTGTTTCCGTATTAAGTGCACCTTTTGCTCACGGATAATCAACGTTGCGTGCAATACTGTCATATTGCGATGAAATTCCCCTGGACTTTTGATGTCGAAAAATGTCGATATCCATTGGCCACTGAGATCTGCCGATTTAACTTCTCCAGACTTCTTTCTGTGGGTTTATTTGAAGAGCAAAGTTTATGCCTGTAATCCTCAAATCCTTGACGAACTAAAGGACAGCATCCGTGCCGAAATGAGAGCCATACCGACCGATATGCTCTAGAGAGTGATGAAAAATGCGGCGAAAAGAGTTCAATTGCCCATAAGGTAGTAAATTAAATATTGTTTTTTATATTGGTCCAAATAAATTGTATCTATCGATGGTAAATTATACTAACTCAAAAATGTGTTTGTTTTGATTTCCTTTAAACTTTAAATCGGCCCATGAAATATGGCGCACCCTGTATTGTGTAATATAGTAAAGTTGTGTTAAGGGTGATTATCCGGCCACTAATGTAACAGGTTAATAGCCCAAAAATTTGTGCCAGAACCAGCTTTAGCACACTATTAGCTACGTCGAATTTTTCTTCGAAAAATGTTCGTCTCCCCACTGCTCGTATTACCGTGCGAAACCCGTACAAGGGTCTGCACACAGTCATAACCGTCCTGGTCGACCATGGATCTTAGGAAACCATTGTCTCAGAACACGTAGTGCAGTCCCTGCATCTGAAACGGATAAGCACCCGAGCATCTATTTTTGGAATGCGTCTTGGGGTCTTGAGACATATTTCGTTCAAATGTGAAACGCGCTACTGATCACGCTGTGGATCTAATGGTGTCCGCTCGTGATTACCATCGGGCGAAGGTTCCCAGCAACAAAGTTGCAAGCATTAAGACAGCGCATCAGGAAACCTCTGCACCCATTTCCAAATACTCGGTTGGAGATAAAATCAACGTATTGTTTAAGGGCTCGATCGATGCAACTTCCAATGACTGGGTCTGCACCGTAGAGGGATGTCTAAACTTTTCCGCCTTGCTGCTCTGTAGTCTGGTAGGAACAACTAAAGCTCCAGTAAGGCGAAAATGAAAGAGAAATACAGAAGATGACCATCGTTGAAGAGACCTCTAAAAAAAGAAAGTCAAAACTGACGCCAATACACAATTGCCCGGTGTGTCTGATTGCTGGGAGAACGATTTGAACCAGTCAAAGGAAACTCAAACTCCTTTGCAGCGCACTTTCTTATCAAGCAATCAAGGGTACCCTATTTCTGGAAGGCTTGGAATCGGGACGGGCACATTTACCGCAGAGGCCCAAGGGGTGCCGACCTCGCGATAGTCAAGGACGATCGATTCCCGCCGTCACAATGGCTACTGGATCGCGTCGTCGAAATACGGACGGATGCGTTAGTCGGTCCGGATTGTAACATTCAAAACCAAGCAAGGCCAGATGAAACGTTCAGTCTCGGAACTTTGTCCACCCACCTCTTTAATAAATAACTCGTTTCTTGCTCTTACTAGATATTCTGCCCAACTAACCGCCAAGACGGACCGGACAAGCGAAGGTTTCTCATGCTAGGTCTAGCATTGGCGGACGGCATGTTAAGTTTACTGCTTGTCCCAGTGTGCTGAAAGCTGATTGCTCTCGCATTTTCGCATTCGCTTGTTTAAGCAAGTCGAGGTCGATAATACCATCGAATTCTTTAAGGTTATTTAGAATAAAAAAGGGTATTTATACCCGTTACTCGTAGAGTAAGTCAGGGACTATAAGAGATACAAAGTTGAGATTAACCATGAAGAGTCTTGAGGTCCCTACGCAGCATCCTGCCACGCCCACTCTGACGCCCACAAATCGCGAAAAACATCACTGAAATCTCAGGAACTATTAGAGCTAGAAAGTTGAAATTCAGTATGTATAATCTTTAGATGCCAGCGCATCTTATAGTGGTACTACTATCCTGACATACCCACTCATATGCCCACAAGGCTCAAAACACAGTTTTCGGATTTTCTAGAAAAGCTGATATCTCGGTAACTATAAGAGATAGTTCCGATTAAGCATGATGCTCGCAATGCGAATTGCCGATCAAGCCACGCCCACACTAACGCCCACGAAACCCGAAAATCCAAAAATGAAAAAATCTCGAAAACTATAAGAGCTACAAAGTAGTGCTTAAGAATACTCATTTAAGAGATGCCTCTGCAACTTGCCACGAAGTTGCTTCCGGCCACGCCCACTCTAACGCCCACAAACCGCGGAAAACTGTGGCGTCTATAATATTATTATTAAGGCCTTAATTTTTAAATCGGAACCGATTTGAACCAGTCAAAGGAAACTCAAACTCCTTTGCAGCGCACTTTCTTATCAAGCAATCAAGGGTACGCTATTTCTGGAAGGCTTGGAATCGGGACGGGCACATTTACCGCAGAGGCCCAAGGGGTGCCGACCTCGTGATAGTCAAGGACGATCGATTCCCGCCGTCACAATGGCTACTGGATCGCGTCGTCGAAATACGGACGGATGCGTTAGTCGGTCCGGGTTGTAACATTCAAAATCAAGCAAGGCCAGATGAAACGTTCAGTCTCGGAACTTTGTCCACCCACCTCTTTAATAAATAACTCGTTTCTTGCTCATACTAGATATTCTGCCCAACTAACCGCCAAGACGGACCGGACAAGCGAAGGTTTCTCATGCTAGGTCTAGCATTGGCGGACGGCATGTTAAGTTTACTGCTTGTCCCAGTGTGCTGAAAGCTGATTGCTCTCGCATTTTCGCATTCGCTTGTTTAAGCAAGTCGAGGTCGATAATACCATCGAATTCTTTAAGGTTATTTAGAATAAAAAAGGGTATTTATACCCGTTACTCGTAGAGTAAGTCAGGGACTATAAGAGATACAAAGTTGAGATTAACCATGAAGAGTCTTGAGGTCCCTACGCAGCATCCTGCCACGCCCACTCTGACGCCCACAAATCGCGAAAAAACATCACTGAAATCTCAGGAACTATTAGAGCTAGAAAGTTGAAATTCAGTATGTATAATCTTTAGATGCCAGCGCATCTTATAGTGGTACTACTATCCTGACATACCCACTCATATGCCCACAAGGCTCAAAACACAGTTTTCGGATTTTCTAGAAAAGCTGATATCTCGGTAACTATAAGAGATAGTTCCGATTAAGCATGATGCTCGCAATGCGAATTGCCGATCAAGCCACGCCCACACTAACGCCCACGAAACCCGAAAATCCAAAAATGAAAAAATCTCGAAAACTATAAGAGCTACAAAGTAGTGCTTAAGAATACTCATTTAAGAGATGCCTCTGCAACTTGCCACGAAGTTGCTTCCGGCCACGCCCACTCTAACGCCCACAAACCGCGGAAAACTGTGGCGTCTATAATATTATTATTAAGGCCTTAATTTTTAAATCGGAACATTATTTCGCTATTTTTTTTTTATTATGAAGAAATTAAGGTTATAAGGCCTCACATGGTTTCTGACGTCACTATCAATTACTCAACATGCTTCCTCTGACAATAAGTGGCGCCTTGTGAATCTCCTCTAGCAAAATTAATATTTTAAAATTGTGTAAAACAGTAACTGGTATCTTATAGTCGCGGCACTCGTCTATAGCGTTTCCTCTTGTTTTTATTTTCTTTGTTATTCCAAAGGTAACGGTCGCCATTTTACGTCGTTATGTTCCAATTTATATTATAAAAAAAAAAAAAAATTAAAAATATTTCATTATTATTATTATTTCATGTATGTTCTTTATTCTTAGCTTCTTGATAAGTCAATTGTTTTAAGAGTTAGAAGCTCGAGGATACGCTGTCTATAAAATATCAGCAGTGGTCAATGCGATACATTTCTAAAACAGAGTACATTTAACTACACATCTTTACTTATATATAGATATATATATATTGCGCCAGTGATTTTTATTTTTTTTTACCGCTAATGCTTTTATTTATGCCGTCGGTTTGTTAGGTTTTTGATCAACAAAAGCTACTAAGCTACTAATCAATCTTATAAATTAAGACGATTATGCATGGACCTCTCACCTTAACCGCAGTAAACAGCTTTAAATATATTGTACTTTTGCCTCATATTTCGACATTGTTCTTTTAATTTCAGGAGAAAATCTAGGCTGCTTTGGAACGAGTAAGAAAAAGAAAGAAGGTACCAACAATCCCGAAGCTTTTGACGACTGCATTAACTTATAACCATTTGAACAAGGGATATGGATAATTATGGCAACCTGAAGTAGTTCAATACTATTTATCCTTATTGCAAAGATGTTCGAATCCAGAAACTCTCGAAGCCGCAGCTGGAGCAATTCAAAATCTATCTGCATGTTACTGGCAACCATGTGTTGATATTCGTGCAACAGTGCGTAAGGAAAAAGGTCTACCAATACTTGTGAAGCTTCTTAGAATGGAAGTG